TTTTATAAGCCCATCGAAAATCGCTTACGAAAGAGTATAAGCCCAGGGCTTATAGTCGGAGGTTTACGGTATATCAGAAATTGGTTTTGTATCAGTCAGATATCGATCCGTTTGTTCATGAATCTTATTTCTCGCCTTTATTTATGTCATGTTGTACAGGTCGCCACGAGTCGTACAAGATTTCTTGTGAAACGGAAAAAGAAAGAGCAAATTGGATGAAATGTATACAGTAAGAAATGAAAGTTCTTTATTTTTTTACGAACGAGCGCAGCGAGTGAGTAAAATATTGTTTTTGACACGAGAAGATAAAAGTCATATCTTCAAGCCAAGCAAAAAATTTTGAAATTTCACGCTCAAAAGCAAATTGGAAAAAGTCACGTGATCGATATCTTCACTAGTGAAGATATGGAAAATATCTCACTGTGTATTTTTCAGTATCTCACTCTCTACTATATAATAAATAGTCTGATCCATGTACGCGGATTTTTTGGTTGGATAAACATAAACATTCATGTCAATTTTTTTTCAGTTCGCTTTTTTCTTTTCGTAGGGCTAGTATGGTGATGGATCCATTTTACGACTTTTTACACGCGCGGAAAAAGAAAGCAACGCAAACTGTATGAAGAACAGTTCATATTTTAAAATCAGGTGTGGCACTGGTGCACAGGGTTGCAAATGGATACTCATCCAGTGAAATTCACCATTGTGGTGTTGGACAGTGACTCGGCCCTGACCACACAACTAGGCGGGGATGAATTATAGTTGGGCGCGCTATGCAGACTATGTTCACACTACATCGGAGCGAAATAATGTCGGCAGAATTTACGTGTGTTCACACTACGCTGTCACAGTTTGTTTATAAATTAGCACTCATGTGAACCCAAAATATTTCAAACAGAGCAAAGAAACTTAAACGAAAAGTATTCGAGTTTACTGTTGGTGTTGTTGTTGGTGTTGTTGTTGTTTTTGTTGTTGTCCTTGTTGCTGTTTTTGTTGTTGTTTTTGTTGTTGTTTTTGTTGTTGTGACTATTTTAGCAGGGTAGCCCATTCAGCTGTTAAGCTGGTATCCACATAGGGGCCCTGCATATTATTAGCTAAATACATAAATTATGTAATCCTATCTATGATCCAAATTAATTCCAACATATTTACAATTCAGATACATATAATGTTGTTTAATTCAGTTGGTAGCTGAGATGCTTGATTTGCAAGCAGTACAAAAAAGTAAACGGCATTTTTGTGCACACGAAGCCGCCAAACACTCCGTTTTCATCTCACTCCGTTTAGAAACCGTGCTCAAATTATTAAGACAAAAGTGACGTTTTCAAACAATTTCGCTCTGGCGTCGTGTGAACGTAGTCTTGTTGGCCGTTTAAAATCGTAGCGACTGTGCTCGACCTACCAGCGGAACGGAAATAGAAACTGTGTATATATTAGTATATATAGGATTTGTATAGCATATTACTGTAACCCGGATTGGAAATCAATCTAATTGGGATTGAGGATCAGACGTTCTGAAAAATATAACAAGAAATTTGACGTTTTAGGCTAAACTTGAACCAAGGCGGGATTTTCGTGGAAATAGTGGGGCAGGTGGAAAAATTTTAGAAGAGGTGCAGCGGTCTAGCTCACGACCCCCATAGAAAGTTAGGGCTTAGAACGGGCCAAAGTCAACGACATGACGTATGTATATACGTATCGGTGTATTAATGAATTATGACTGTACAACTCATCCAATTTTGCCCTTCGTTACAATTACTGTAAAGTTTTTTTTCAAAAATATTGCATTAGAAGGGTACTTGACACAGAGATGAATGGCTATTACTGTTTCAATTTTACAGAAAAAACTTTCTTACGAAGTGTAGACCCTAAGCAACCAAAAAATGTCAAATTTTCACTTTGATCTATCGTTGACACTTTCCTAAGGGGAGATGCAAAACGATCTCAGGGGAGGTGCGCACCTCCCCTCAAAATCTGGCCATGACTTAAAGTAAAGACCCTAACGAAAAACTCTCGCTGGAAACGTTGGACGTCTTGTTCTAATGTTGTTCTGAAGTCATATCGCTCCAAATTTTTTCCGTGAAGTATCGGAATGATTAGTCATAATGCGCTGTCATAAAAACAGCGACTGGAGAGCAAACAGCAACAATATAACGGTAACTAACAGTAACATTTTAATTGTATGTTTTACTAAACATGAACATTTTCAACTATTTATGCTAAGTTGCTAACGAATATATTATGAAATGAATATATATTAACCAAAAGACTGTCTTTTGGATTGTCTATGATATTAACGATATAGTGATATATTAATACAAATTGTGTAAATTTTAACGATAACCCTTTAGATTTATTTGTAATGTATAATATTGATGTGCAATACAGGCAAAACAGCAGCGAAACAGTAAAACCATTTACTATACGTCCAGGATCTTATATAAATTTCGTGTCACGGATTAATATACATTTCGTGCATAAAAGGCCGCGTGACTTCCATTTCGTAAGACTAGTCTGGGACTCTATAACCTGCTGGACCTCGTACCGGTTTATGCGCTTGTAGCCCAGTCCACGTGACATCTGTATCTGCATGTGTTCATTGTGAGATGCAAACAACGGTATCGTGCATATGGGTTGTACCACTGAGCTATACTATATTACTGGAGGACCTGCTCGGGAAAAAAAAGTGAAGCCAAAAACATGGCGGATCTGACGCCATTGCCATGACTACTGGTCCCTAAATTCATGGCAACTACCACTGTCCCAACCGCGATCCTAAGTTTTCGACAATGTACTTCACCCCCCTGGTTTCAGCACAGATATTTTATGATTTCGCTTGTTTTTGAGGTAAAAATCGCACTGAAAATCTTGATATTTTTCTCCTATAACTTGGTTGATTTACAATGTCGAGGATCCTGCCTTTTTGCGCCGCTCGTAGATGTATGAGATGTACAAGAAGAATCTTTTTATTCACCGGTAAGATTTTTATATATTGTAGAAAATTTGAAGCAGAAGTACAAACTACAAAGTTTATAATACTACGAACATAAAAGTATATGAACAGCAAATTATTAGCAGACATAACAACCTGTAAATGGTTGGCAATTCTGTACATTTTATTGTTCTTTTGATTTGGTACTACTACTGCTATAGCGATATTTGCGTAGGGTTTCATGGCTGGTTAATATGATTTCAAAGTCCTTGCTGTAGTGTCTGCACACTTGTATTTATTTAGTATTTTAGTATATTAAATTTTCCTTGACAAACTTTGAGTGATATCCTTGCCAGGTTCTTGCCAGCAGTTGTTTATAATTACTGTGTAGTTATATGAAATCTCACTTACATGACATGTAGACAAGTGAACAAATACTTTGCTAGCTAGGCGGCTAGGCCAAAGACATCAGGTTCAAACCATTCAATACCCATTGCAATCAAGCAATTACCATAAACATATAAGCCCCCTCCCCCCAATATAAGCCCCCCTGTGTATAATCCCATCATATTTACTCAGGCTATTCCGAATATAAGCCCCTCCCCCTCTAATGTAAGCCAGGCCTGTGTGTACAAGCCCATGGGCTTATATTATTTGACAGGGGCCGGTTGTATCAAGCCCGTTTAGCTTAATTTCTCATGAATCAGTCAACTTAAATATTCTGCACTGAATATGTAGTTGTAAACATCATTCTATTAAGGTTCAAAACTTCTAGTTTGGTTGTTGAATGAATCTATAGAGTCTGAGTTGCTTTCTATTTTGAGCTTAACCAACGTTTAAGCTAAACAGGCTTGATACAATTGGCTCCAGGTATATTTATTAATGCAGCTTTAGCCATACATATTAGAATACAAGCCCAGGGCTAGCTGGCTTACATTCAGAGGCCGGTTTACAATATCTCGCCCAACATATAGTTTGTCAGAGTTCTATAAATCCCACAGTCATTAGAGGTAATATAGGAATGAAAGGTGCACAATATGTGTGCCAGTCACCTTGGCATTGACCGGCCAACCTTATGCTCTGACAATTAACCTAAATTGATTGATGATATGTTTGAGAGCAGTTTCAGGTTTCAGTGGTGGTGTCCCCAGTATTGGAGTAGAGCTCAAATTTCAGTTAGATATATTATTTGTGATTGTTGTGAACCTTCTCACTTAGATCATTTGTGATATATTGTAATTAAATGTAAAATGAAACTTTGGGGAGTTAAGAAATACAATTAATTGACAAGACTGTCCCCTTGACAAGTAAAATTGTCAGGCATTAGACTGCCTGAGTAAAATAATAAGCTTGGGTGCAATTAACTGCTGTATGCTTTAAAGTTGGTTGCATGCTTTAAAGTTGGTTGCAAGCTAGCTGGGCTTATAAATGCCAGAACTCATGTGAAAAATGCTTGGATCAATTTATTTCATCCGTAATGAACCCATTTTTAATCCTTTAAGTGGCAATGCGCCCCACTACAATATTTTACTCCGTCCAATGCCAGACAATTTTACTCGTCAAGTTGAGAGTGCTGCCCCTCAATGGGTTCAGTTGCATTGCACCCTACTGTATATGTTCGTGTTACTTTGTCTAACGCCAACAATTTTACTTGTCAACAAGAGAGCACAGTGGTACGTGCTGAATGGGTTAACATATAAATAATGTCTACTCTACAGTAAATTTCCCTGTAATTGGACTTTGGAGCCTGGTATATGTGACTCACTATTTCTTCAAAGTGTGTTCTAATGATACTAGCTGTCACTATTTTATAAATATAATTGACATTTCTCATTTAGGGTGATCCAGGATGTAGGTCATGTGGACAAGTTCTTTGGAATGTTCAAATAACAAGAATAGTGGTGTTATAGTAGTGGTGGCACTTGCCAGACCTACCGTAACTGGAAAAACTAACAATGACTTTTCTCCAAAGTCTTATATCAGGCTTTTTTTCAGGGATTTTTTAGGGCCGTTAAACGGCCCCAAAAACTCAATCTTGAATTGAGTTTTGAAACTCAATCTTCTCACCAAAGTTTCAGTGCAGTAAAAATGAAGTTGTTTGAGTTAAATTTGTGACGTGTGGAAATTAGTTTTCAGTTGGAAACCCGACAATTAAGAAAAAATGGCTGGAATTCATCTCACAACACAAGAAAAACTATGCATTTGCCATCGTTAACCAGTTTATAGTGTCCCTCAATGCCCCTGCTTTAACACATTCCGTCTCAACTACATTTGTTGAGTACAAGTGTCAGCC